TGAATTTATCCAGTATTTGTAGAGTTATTTCCCTTGACAGAAAAGTGGCGCGGTGGGGGCACCCGTGTCCTATGGACACATTTCTAGTTATTTATATAGAAACGTAAGACTCCTTATTAAGCCAGTAATTATATAACATCCTGGGTGGGGCAACTAAAATAGTCTAAGAATTTAGTTGTGCAGGCATAGGTTAGATTGTATTACCATGTACCTGGAGTCTGATACTCTGTTTTGCATAGTTTTTCATGCTGTGCTATCTGATTAAATGATGCAAAAAGTTTATCGGTATAAACCCTCATTATAAGATTATATAGAGAAATGAGCTCTAGTGACGTCAAATACAGTAGAATCATATTCCAAGAAGCTTTCTACAGATTTGATATGTAGATATAACAGATAAGAACAAGGTTTGCTTTACTTTCTGTAAGTAGGGTGGTGATGTTTTTTGTTCAGAAGTCAAAGTCTTGAGGCATTTTGTGATTTAGTAAAATCTGCATTTTTTCTACTGTAATTTTTGCAGAGACTTAATGTTGTAAGGCAACAGCGGTCCCTCTTAAGAAATTCAATAGAAACAATGGATTCACTTACCATGATTGTGAGATTAAGGAATATTATTAAGATTCATAGTTTAATCAAATTGTAGCTAGACTAGGTCTATTTTTAAAAAATAATTCAGATTAAATGTTTTGATCATTAATTCATATTAAACACATTCATTTCATGATACTAGAAAGTCTTAAAGTAAAATTCCTTTTCACAAGCATATTTGTGGCTTTATTAATAAGACCAGCAATACTTGTTTTTGTAGGAAATATTCTCAAGTTTAATCGGCAGTCAATCAGTCTGTATGCTGTCAAAATATTGTTGTATTGAGCCCATCTGTTGATGTATTTATTGAGTAGTCATCATCACTTCAAGGGTATTTCAGTAACAATATTAATAAACAATTGTTGTACTGGGCTACCTTCTAACATTCCTCACTCTTCACTCTGTTTGCACTAATATAAACAGTCTTAATAGAAGCTCCTTCAATTTCAATTAGATCAAAGAAGTTCTTTTGCAGCATCTTAGAAAAATATCAAAGGGGAATAACTTTTAAGTTGTCTTTGCTCAAGCAAATTATTAACAAAATTATTCCCCTTAAATTTTAAACATTGGGAAACCATGCTGTGTTTTTGGAGAGAAAAAAATCAATATCTGTTAAAAATTTAAGATCAGCATCGAAATTTCTATATTATGTAAAAATGTATAAAGACATCTAAACATAATGATAACTAACTCGGTTACTGAGATAACTAACCCGGTTACTGAGATAACTAACTCGGTTACTGAGATAACTAACTCGGTTACTGAGATAACTAACTAGGTTACTGAGATAACTAAGTCGGTTACTGAGATAACTAACTCGGTTACTGAGATAACTAACTCGGTTACTGAAATAACTAACTCGGTTACTGAGATAACTAACTCGGTTACTGAGATAACTAACTCGGTTACTGAGATAACTAACTCGGTTACTGAGATAACTTACTCGGTCACTGATAATTTGACTTGAGTTCCCTCATACCATCACCTGTCACTGTCACATCTGTCACAGTCACATCTGTCACATTTACTTGTCACATCAACATAATACTTTCTTCAGATCTATATTTTGTTTTCTGTAGTTAAAATCTAATGTTTAATTGAGGCAATAGTGACTCATTAATTTCTGCACACTTAGTGGAAACACCCATTTACTATTCCATTTCTAGAAGCACAATAAGTTTTTGATTTGAATTTGCTGAATGTTTGACCAAATAGAACTATCTATTTCTGATCAGGTCATTTTGCTTTGTTGTAAGAATGAATCAGTGAGATTTATGAATATTTACAAGTTGTAATTACAAACCAATGTCATCAGCAGATATTTGAATTATTTCTTTCCTTAAATAATACTTCATGAAAATTGAACATTGAATTGATATGAATTAATGTAAATGACTAGTAAATTTTAATATCAAGGCAACAAATGATTTGTTCTGGAAAAAAAATCATTTCTAAGAAATATTTAAGGACTTTCTAGCATTCAAAAATAATCAAATTTATCTACAGAAAAATAAAAGAAATTGCCCCAAAATAATTATTAAATACAGCTGTGTATCTGGTATCATATATAACAGAGAATTGATTGTATGCCAATGTTTGAAAAACGAAAAATGAACATCTGGTATTTTACCCATTAAATCTTATTTGATTAAAATGTTTCTTTGATGCAGTTGGTGGTAACCCAGAGTTTTGATAGAAGTATTCCAAAGTTATCTCCAAAATGAGACCCAAGAATTTCAGGCTTTCTGAATACTGAAGATAATGTATAATGAAATTATTCCTAGTATGCTCACTTATTAAGTAACAAAGTTTTAAAAAGATGGAGGAATTTGTAATTGTCTTTGGTTAACTCTTTAATGATAATGCTTCAATGAAATAATGGTCTCTGAAAATGCTGGTAAAATAATAGAGAATGTGTACATTAATCTAAGATCAAGAGTATAATGACAATATTCTTCTTTCTGAAAGTTAAGTTGTCCCCTTGTCATTATGTAGACATTCTTTTTGTTGCATTGATGAACCTTTCTGGCATTCTGATACAAGATCTTGTAGAAGTCTTTGTTTACTTAATTAATTTATGTTGCATTAATTGTGTTTGCATTTCTCAGTGTCTTTAAGTACACATACATTAATTAATTATCAAGATGTATTCTGGCATATAGGTATCATACTATATACCATGCACTCTGTGATACCATTATTGTGTCGCCTCTACGGAGTAGTGGCGACATATAGGGATCACTTCTCCGTCGTCTGTCTGTCCGTCTGTCTGTCCGTCCGTCTGTCTGTCTGTCTGTCCGTCCGTCCGTCCGTCCGTCACAAAACTTGTCCGGACTACTCCTCATAAACTACTGGTGCAATTTCATCCAAACTTTACAGGAATGATCAGTACCAAGTGTAGTTGTGCATATTGTCAGCATTTTTCGGTTTAATGATTTTTGTCAGAGTTATGGCCCTTTAATAATTTTTAATTTTAAAGTTTGTCCGGACTACTTCTCTTATACCACTAATGCAATTTCAATGAAACTTTACAGGATTGATCTGTAGCTCAAGTCCTTGCGCATATTGCAAGGGTTTTCCGGTTGAATGATTTTTGGCCGAGTTATGGCCCTTTGATAAAAAGGTTTCTTTTTCTGTGGGTTGCCAGATACACAAAAGCTTGTCCGGACTACTCCTCATAAACTACAGGTGCAATTTCATCCAAACTTTACAGGAATGATCAGTTAGAAGTCAAGTTGTGCATATCATCATTCATCTTCTGGGTCAACAATTTTTGTCAGTTATGGCCCTATAATTACTTTTATTTTTAAAGTTTGTCTGGACTACTCCAGTTAAACCACTAATGTAATTTCAATGAAACTTTACAGGATTGATCTGTAGCTCAAGTCCTTGTGCATATTGCACGGGTTTTCCGATTGAATGATTTTTGGCTGAGTTATGGCCCTTTGATAAAAAGGTGTTTTTTTCTGTGTGTTGCCAGATACGCAAAAGCTTGTCCGGACTACTCCTCATAAACTACTGGTGCAATTTTATCCAAACTTTACAGGAATGATCAGTACCAAGTCTAGTTGTGCACTGTCCGTCTGTCTGTCCGTCTGTCACAAAATTTGTCCCAACATGAAATTGGCCATCATGAGGCGACACATGTGATTACTGATTGCTCTTGTAATAGATCTGTTACACTGATTTCACAGGTAGTTCTGTCACTGTCACATTAAGTCATTTCACTAATTGTTAATGATTACTTTAGAGTCTGTCTTTTATTATTGTTCTGATTGGTTACCTTTGTATCTGTTCCTGACATATACCTGGACATAGTTTCTATATGATGTTTATTGTCAGATCCAGTGAGGGTCTGGTAAATAGGCTGTTTTCTTGTTGATAAAGATAGAATCATTTTCCAGGCAGGTGGTTGTTCTTGTGCCAGTACAGGTAAAAAGAGGAACTTGATAGACATATTTGTAGATGATGAGTCAGACCACATTAGAAACTGATCAAGTCCTAAATACTTTAATACATTTTGTTAATTTTAAATCATTTGATGTAGGACGTCTTAAAGTTGATATTTTGTGGATGAAAATGTGTTTGAAAAATTCCAGGTGATTCAACTTAGGTGGCATAGGAAATGACTTTGTCATCTGGATGTTTTGATAATGTAATAGTTTTAAAATGATTTGAAATTAATCTTACACATAGTAATTATGCAACAGATAATGAAGAATGCTAGTTTATGAATGTATGTTGAGGTTAGCCACGGCATACTGACAGTTTAAGTGTAGCCTGTGGTGTAATACGATGCATTCATATTCATTGTTACATGCTAAATGCCAATCTTTTTTAAATGTCTAGAAATTTAGAAGTGGCAGGTATTTTGATTCTAATCAGGAAACATTTCTATTTATGGAAACAGGCAGTCTTAAGATCTGATAAGCTTGCGCGAATATAATTGTATAACAGTATATAAGTTATACAACAGAATAATAAAACAATAGCTGTTTAATATTAACATACCAGTGTTTGGATGGTCTGCTAATTAAAGAAATGTTAATGAAAGACATAGTGAGATAGTACATAGAGGAACTGAGAGCTGGAGTAATATGAGTAAATGATACCACATTCCGTGTGTTAGAACAATGTTTATTTAGGAACAGTTTGCAGTCTTCCATTCATCATTGTTATTTATTTGCTGGAAGAAACGTGCTTATGAAATGATTTGCCTGTGGAAGGATGTACCTGTTGTTGGATAGTTGTAGAAAGTTGTTTTGGAATTTTAAAAATAATTCTCAATCATAATTACTGTTGTGACAGTGAGCTTCAGCTGCTGGTGTAGTATGTTAAATTGAACTTTCAGTAGTTACAAAAAAGAAAAGAAAGGTGTTTGTATTCAGGTTTATTGAGGGCATTATGAACATCTTTTGAAAACATTTTCATCAAGTAATCTATGGAAGTTCAGTTTATTTACTTGTCTTTAACACCTATACAAGATGAAGGAGCACTCTGGAGCAAAGAAAACAGAATATTTCAACAGATGTCTTGATAAACTCTTGTGATTCATCATTTATTACTTGCATAAATTGCAAAAGTTTGATGCAAGATTTTTGTACAGGGAGCATATGGCATGTCAGTCAGAGATTTTCCTCAGGGAGGGATTACTGCATTTGTAATCTTCTCAGAAGTAACATAACCTTGCAGCAAGTGATACCTCCCTATCTCTGTGACTGATACAAACAGCCATAAATTTTCATGATTTCTCCCATATTTCTTAACATTTTTCTCTTAACATATTCTCCAGATTTTTTTTAATCTAGACTATAGGAGGTTACATTTTGCAGAATGATTTTATAGATATGAAAACATGAAAAAAATGAAATCTGGTTATGTTTAAGAGGGTTGAACAGTTGAAAGAAAAAGTGGAATCAACAAATGTTAAATGAAACAGGTAAATGGAAACTTGAACTACCTTGTTTCAAAGATTAAAGTTTTGTTTCAAAGATGATTAAACTTCCTGTGGATATGGCAGAGAAAAGGAGAATATTTTACTGTTAGGAAGGTGATTCATGTAAAGTGTGGTTTGCAAGACATCTTGAATTGTGTTGATTATAGCATTGTATGAAAATGTAAGAGGATATATATCATAAAAACGGGCAATGTTTGGATGCCAGTGTATCAGGCAGGGATTTGTGTTCATGTTTTCATTGTTTTTCAAGTGGAATTGTGATTACCTGTAGGTAATAAAAATGCTTATGATAAGTGATTGGCTATAGAAGATAGACTGTAGGTCACTCTATGGTTAATGTTTACCTGCTAGGAGGGTACAGTAGATTTATGTTGGATATTAGAAAGTGAAACATGATGGACTTGTTAGAGGTACATGTTGGTATATACATGACCGTACTGGTCTATAATACTTGTAGACTTAAAATCAAGGTTTGTTCTACTTTCATTTCTTCTTTCAGTTCTTCTTTCAGTTCTTCTGTACATGATTGATCAACTTCATGTACTTTAACAGTGACAGTTTCACAAACTGTACTTTTGTTAACTGAATGTTCATTTATTATGTCTCCCAAAATTTTTGGAAGACATATTGTTTTTGCCTTCGCCGTCTGTCCGTCGATTGCACATACTTTAACAGTGACAGTCTTACACACTGTGCTTTTGTTAATAGCATGTTCAATTATATGTCTGCAAATTTGTTTTAAATGAAAAGTAGTTTATGCCTTGTCATGCAATATTACAAGCATATTAAAGGTTAATGGAAGATTGTCACAGCTAGGTCAGTTTGGAGAGTGGGGTGGGGGCATGTTGTGCTGAATTCTTTTAGTTAATTTGGAATGAACCATATATATATAACTATTGATGTCACTCTACCTTCTATCACCTCACATCTATTGTTCTGTCTTTACGACAATGAATTGTTATATATCTGAAATGCAGATCAAAAGTTGTATTATCATTTCTGTATGTTTCTAGCTTAAGTATATGTATTAATTTTGCACAAACTGACAAAGTTTGTTACATGATAAGTTTCTTACAACACTTAACATAATGGAAAAGTTATAAGCTCATGAATGAAATATATACATGAGGCTTCCAAGTGAAGATATAAATGATTGTTTTAATCATGGAGTAGACTATGCAGAATGTTTCCATGCTTCCACTTAGACATTTTCATACATTAACTGCATAATGCATTCCATCTTCATTCATTATTCATACTGCAGTGGCATAAACCTTTTCCCTTATCCCATACAAAAAAGCAGCAGGTAATTGTTGGCTACATATAGTTTACACATTACAAATTATAAAGATACTTATTCTGCAGCACATCCGACCTTTAACTTATTACTAATCTAATGGGTATAATCAGTGTAGGTATCACTGGTACACATGTAGGTGTGTTAATTACAGTTTGAAGCAGGTACTTAAACAAAATAACAGCTAACAAATGAGCTTTATTAATTGTGAAATCTGAAGAAAAGGAGAGGGCTTATTTGTTATACAGGCCACTTAATTTATTTGTATTAGCAGCAGATAATCAGCATATAAAGGGAGAAACTAAAAAATACAAATAGAAAAACAAACTAGCTCAGAAAGCGCTACTCTGCCTTCCCAGTCCCAGAACCTCAGATATTACATTTACAGTAAAATTCCTATTAAATGCCCCCGGGGACTTAAAACATTTTCCAAAAGGGGGGCTATTATTACAACACAGTTTTTCCGAAGTCCAAAAATCATTGTAAATACATTTAGTGCTAGCAAGTGTTGGTAATAACATTAAAAAGTGTTAAGATTTTAAAGTTCATTCTTTAAATTAAATGGATTCTGAATGGTTTGAATGAAATTATGGATTTACTCATGAGTTCAGCACTGATGAGTAGATTGTTTTTCTTATCAAAAGGCCTGGGGGCCTTTATAAGGGGAGGGGAGTTTATTAGGAATTTTACGGTATATGTTCTAGCATTTTCATCATCCTTACAATTAACAAAAATGCTGTCTTTAAACATTGTTCATTTACACCTGTGTTTTATTTCTCTTAGATAAACAGTAGCATCATTCTGTATGTTTCAAAGTTAATGGGCTTATTGTAATTATACAAAGTACAAAAATTATATCTGGTTTTTAAATTAAGTGTAAAAGAGCTCATTCTTTTATCAAGTCATGTGATACAATACTGTCTGTTTCCTGCTATATGATATAATGATATATATTCTACACTATATAACCTTTATTCATGGAAATGACATACAATGATAAATATCATGAACAAACAAGAACTATGATAATTTCATATAATGAGGCTCTTTGATAAGCAAATTATGTTTTCTATTTTCAGGACATCATTAAGCTGGTAGTAGGACGTTTAGCTGCTGGGGATAGATTTTTCTCAAAATGTTTTGCATTAAAGTTGGTTCACACAAATTCTCGAGAATGTTATTGGCTACACAACAATCTCACAATGTACCAAGTAAAACAGAAATACGAAGCTTCAAGACCCCCTGATGAATGGAGGTAAAATGTTTCTGTAACATTGTTTTGTTTAATTCACACATAAAATATGAAAATATACGGGGACTTTGAGCTTTAACTGGTGGGAGAATACCTTAGGTGTTTACCCTGGTATCACCATGAAACTTAACAAGTGGATATATTTCATCGCTGAAAAGAGCAATGCACAAGCACTTTGATTTTCTTTTGCATACTTGTGTTATTGTTTGTGCAGTTACCACAAATCATGAACTTCTTGCTAACAAAGTGGCCTGCAGGAGAATCATTTCTAGTTTGTACAGTAAAGCATTAAATTTTGACTAGACCCAGATTTTTGTAATCACTTTATATCCTCATAATGAAAATAAATGACTGAAAATAATTGGTATAGTAATGGTTATAATACTTTGAGGTAGTTTGACTCCAGTAAGATACATTGGGACGAGTCCCTGTGTTTTTATAGAAGAAATATATTGCATCTGTTATTTCTATGCAAATGACTTTTTGATTACCACACTGAATTTTTCTATCTGTTTTGTATGTGAAATAATTGCGCAGCTATAACTCATTGTTTTATCATTTTTTATACAGGTATGAGTTAAGAGTGAGATACCTGCCAAAGAATTTTCAAGAACTCTACTCAAAAGATAAAGTGACATTCTATTATTTATATGATCAGGTATGTAGATATTAATTTTGTTGAGACTTGTAGCTGGAACAGATAGCAGCATGCATATAAACAAATGCCACAAGTATCAAAACTTACAAACAGCCAGATCAGCCTGTATAGTCTCAAAAATAATGAGAGAATGTTGTTGTTATAGATGTTATTATATAAGCTTGAATGGTAGATACTGTATGGATAGTTAACATCAAATGTCCATGCATACAAAATTATTGTAGATTAGCAGAATTATGGCCCTGTAATAATTATTGTTATGCTTCATTTGCATTTGACTTGAAAAGCATATTAAAATGATAGAATTATGGAACTTTGTAAAAAAATATTTGTTATCATGCACATTCATTCATCTTGTTAATTTGTCACACATTCATTGGACATTATCAGAGTTATAAGCACATTTGGATGTGTCACCCCAAAAGTATAACTGCTTTGTTTATACATACCAGTAATTTAACAAATATTTTGTGACATTTCTTGTTACTAATACTTTAAAAATTTCTAGGGCAATAAACCTCTATTTTTCGCTACTGTCATGTTAAACAACAATCATTCTATTGTTATAGATATGTATCATAGGGATTTGATAATTATCATGATTATATCATTTTGTCATTTATAGTTTAGTGGTAAAACAAACAGTCTCCAATTAATGATGGATGATGTACAGTGTTGTCATGATATATTTTACACTGTATTAAATGTTTTAACATGTGAAGATAACTATCAAGACTGTATCAAGTGTTAAAGCTATCGTGAGATTTTGGACAAGTTAAAGATGACCCATCCACATATTTACTCTCAGATATAGTTCTGTAGATAAATTTTGGCTTCTGTAGATATATACTAGCTCCTGTCTATGAGGGAAAAGTTGATTCAAAGTAACTGTTTTTTGGTGGACCACTTGTATAAGATGACAGGAAAGGGGGTTAAAATAGTGATGAATGTGATTGTTATCAGAAATAACAACATGTTAGAGAGATGTTATATCTATGAGTCTGTAAGTTTTAAAGGTGGGGTATCATGATCTGAAAACTAATGATCTATCATTAAATATAGTGGTCATGCTTTGTACATTGAGAAAGTAATACACTTCACACGATTTTGTGATTAGCTGAAACATTATCTGATTCTGTAGTCATTACACATTCTTCTGGAATTCAAAATTGTAAGTGATGAATTTATTCGCAAAAAAACAGTATTTTCTTCTTTTTTCTCTCTTTTTTTTCAATGGTAAATGCTGGCTATTTAATCAATCAAATAGCATGCATTGCATATCTGTAGAGAATACAGATGTTCCACAAATAGCAAGTATTCAACTCTCTTGTGTCAGTACCAAAATGAAATATTAATTTTCATTGAAATGGATGGAAGAACCAATTATCACACAAGTTCTTGGTGCTTATATTAGTTAGCCTGTTTTTCAAGGATGGAGGCTTTAGATTTTAAGGTTTGGGGGCTTGTATATTGAACCAGACATTTCAAATATAATATTATTAATCAAGAAAAAAATCAGTTTTGTTTATAAAGAGGAGATTTTTTCTAGCTGTTTTCATTCTTATTTCCTTGCAATTGTAGTCTTTTTTTAAAGAAGATAATAATCTGGTCTTATTTTTAAAGATTTATGATTATACCTAATACGGCAAATGCAAATGGATTTATGGGGACATGTGAAACTATTTGAGGGACATTGTGAGGAAATTGTCATGAAGATTTAGTGTCATACTACCATTTTACCCTTTGTCTTGTCAGCTAGCTAATCAATTAGCTCCAGTCCTCACTGTTTTAATAATTGATCAGTTAATTGGAACTTGATTGATGCTAGCCTTACAGGAACATTCTCTTCGTTCTGGTTTTGAATTTCTTGTGGGGGAAAAACAATATATACAGATGTAGCAGTATCAAATAGCAGAAGTAATAAACCATTTTATGATGATATTATATGTATTTGTCATACTTTATGATATCTGTAATATTTCCATATGTGTCTGCAAAAAATATCATTACCCTGTTTCCCATAACACTTCTGTTTGTGACACAGAATGATGGTTTTAAATAATGTTGGAAACGTCACAAAAAAACCAGTCACAGACAGAAAGGATAGAAGCATCCATTGATCTGTTACTGACATTTTAAATGTGTTATCAATAACACTGCCCTGCCTATTTTATAATTTATGTGATGAGTTAATTAAGGGAGCTGGTGCCCCAGTCAGTTTCACTGATGTCTCTGTTTAGAAGATCAATACATAAAGGTTCACGTTAGGGTCAGCATGGGTGGTAGGGGATTTTTTTCTGTTGATTAATTCATTAATATGAACCCCTTGGTAGAGAGATTAATCAAATATTGATGATAGTCCAGCCTTTAGTCACATGCCTGTAGTAAACAATACATTCACTCACAGCTGTTGAATCTGTGTAAATATGAAAAAATAGCAGTGAACAAAGACATATGAATGGTGGGTAAATGCAAATCCCTTAACTAATGTTTATATTTTTTCCCAGTTTTTGAGTGAAGAAGAAAAAGGAAATGTAATTACTAGCATATATATATTTTTTCTCAGTTGCACCATAATGATTTTTTCCACTGCTGGAATTTATTAGTCCTTTTGATATAATATATCTATCAAGTCATTTGCCAGTAAATTTTCTTAATTTGCCAAGATATTGTAGATTAGAAATCTTATTGCTTTATCATATTTCAGCCTCAGTGGTTAAAAAAAATTACAGAAGCTATCGTTAAAACAGCTCATAAACAAGCTATATTAAGCCGATATTTAAAGAAACTCGGTCACCAATCAATAAATTTACAGCTCACTGAATTTCACAAAATTATTCATCAGGCATACATCTGTTTACTGTCTGTTTGTTGTAGGCTATATAGAAAAGATGAGCATTATAATAAAACTTTGTTATTGATGCTTGTTGTCTAACAATGCCAATGTTTATATAATGTTTTCTAGTTAGTTAAACATACAAACATGAAAAGTTTCTCTAATTAAACTTAGATAACCTTGATAAGAAGTAGCTGTCAATAAAGTTGGAAATCTATAGGGACCAGTATAAAGTGCATTTTGTGCATGTCAATTGTGGAACCTGTTATCTTGATGAGACAGTAATGAATTAATTCTGCATAAACTGACAATTAGGTTACCTTTTGTACTGACATACCAGGGACAAGGTGGTTTATTACATAATGTACTGCCTATACTCTATTTTAACCTGTTATATAAGTCACGAAATTAATGCTCTTAACAAATTCTTTCTAACTTTAAAAGAGTTAAATCTTTCATGCTTTTATGAGCTTCCTCTTTATTAACATATGATGGTTTAAACTATGAGCTGGCATTAGTCTTGTCAAGAAACCATTGACTGCTTTGTTCTATTCATTTGTTATGTTGTATATTATGACAATGTTGACTATTATATTTATGCATGTTGTAGGTGAGGAATGACTACATGAGAGATCTGGCTGAGATTATTGACCATGACATGGCTATTAAACTAGGCTGTATAGAAATGAGGTGAGATGTTCTAATACCAGATTTACTGAAATAGTCAACTGCCCAAACTTAATATCTTTTATACTATGTGTTGAAATGTTCATTTTACTGAGAAGTTTACCATGCAATGGTGTTTTATGTTATAATTCAAGGTTAAAAAATATTTACCTTGTAGTTACAAATATCCAGGCATTAAATACGATCTAAATATTACAAAACTTAAAATATGTTTTCCTGCACGGTTACCAAATTAAAATCCCGCCACTCCATATGTATGAATACTTTACAAATATTGTTACATGAAGAAAACATTGCTTATTCATTTATTTATTTATTTTTACAGGCGATTTTTTAAAGATATGCCTCAAGTAGCTTTAGATAAGAAGTCCAATTTTGAATACCTGGAGAAAGAAGTTGGATTGAAACGATTCCTGCCCAAAAATGTGATAGACTCAATGAAGGTATTACAGAAAAAATTATAACAATTTTACAAAAATTAGAACTTTTGTTATATAAAATAAATATATATCAATTCAAAGGCACAAACTGTACTTTAAAATGTTTTTTAGTTGATTGTTGATTTTAGAAAGGTAACATGTGACAATAATGTTACAGCTCTGTCTGTACAAAAAGAAGAAAATTTTAGGAAGCTGATTGACACATCTTTCTATGAATAGACATATAACATACTTAGTGTTTTTGTACTTGTAAAAAACAACAACAAAAAACAAAAACAAATAAACACATATTCTAATCAGCAGTTTATAGACATGATATTTGTGATGTACCCCAGATAAATAGTGATTCATGTTTTAATAATAACTAGTGCATTCAGATTTTGTTTTATCCTAGCATTTTGTTTAATCATCATTATTGAAACAATTGTGACTGATGTTTATAACTGTCTACCAGTCTCTAACATCCCAGATCAATAGTTGAGGAACAAAAATGTGCAATTGTTTCCCTTGATGATTAGTGGAACATTATTGATTAAACTATAAAACCTTCTTGATTGTTTATTCAGTGCATAATGCATGAATTTAACAGCAGATGGCACCTGTTTTGCTTAGATAGGCAGGTTTACTTAAACAAAGTGCAATTTTGCAATAATACAGATGTCATACAAAGGGAGGTAATTAATCAGATTTATTTGATTATTTGTTAATTGTTTTCTCCCCTTTTTACTTCATGTATGAGTCAATGAGAGGTATTGTTACAAAATGAATTAATTATGTAAAATCAATAAAATCATTAGGAAAAATGGCAAACATGTTAATATTTGTATCAATATAACGGGATAATACTGAAAAAAGGAAGATTTTTAAAAAGATAATTTTAAGAAAATTTAAAGAAAGCTGTAGGGTAGGGGGACAATAATCTGCTCAATGTAATCTTTAAGCTTGTCCTAAGCATGCTGATGGATGTTTGTTATTAAAAACACTCAACACTTCCTTTGTTCCACAAGTACCTATACATGATTGTGTCGAAAAAGGAAGTTGGAGCAAGGATGAGTATTTGCGTTGGTTATATTGATAAAGCCATTAAAGGTCAGTGTTTATGAAATGCTGAAGTCTTCCGAATTATAGTATATGTACATGAAAGCTTTATGGATATAGTTTGCAGTTTGTAGGTTCTGTTAAAAGTTTTATCTTATTATTTAAGTGAGTATTAAATGTGACTTCATTAAAGTGAATTGTCTTTAATGGAAGGTCTGTTATACAATAAATAATTATGTTGATAGTATTGAGTATCAGATATAATAACAAACCTTGAAAGAGTTATATTTGAATGTTGTATACAAGTGAGATAAATGATCCGATATTACATAATTATATTCATACATCAGACAGTAAGACAATAAGTTTTTCTAGAAAACAAAGAAAACAATCATATTTAAATGTTCATACTGAATCATTTAGAACTCTATAAACAATTTATTTCAAACAAAAACTTGTAAGAATGAAATAACTTGTAAGAATATCTATGTGATACATTTCTATTGTTTTTATCAATATTTGAAATACTTAAGGAAACTGTGCCCATTGTAGACCAATCCACTTTAAATCTTGTGAATAATTGATGCATCTTTATATTTTTAAGTCATGACTATTTAAAGGAAGTCATGAACATTTGATACTGTAATGATAAACAGATTTTAAGTTTGAAAAGTCATGTTTTCACTGTATTAGCCAAGTCATGTTAGGAACATAAAACAATATGTAACAGTCATTTACTTCATTACTGGTCATGTGAATTTAATTTTGACTTGATTACCATGTCTTTGTATGTAAATCACATTTCAAATAACTTATAAAATTGAAGAAAACTTAAGTTGAAATAAGATACACAACTGTCACATCATCTAAGAAACACTAAAGCTGCCGACTGATATATTTCTTTAAAATCCAGAGAAAAAGTTTAACACTGTAATCTTCATCAGATGTAACAAAAATACACCTTAAATGTGCCAGAAGACATAAAAACTAACCAAAACAAGTACTTGCTAAACATGGTGCTATAACCTTGTTTACTGAGCTTGATTTTAGCACAAGGAAATGATGTATAAAAATCTGCAATAAGAAACCATAGTTCCCAGGCATGTATTATATAAGGAAACAGAAATACTTGTTGCAGTTCAAATACTAACTAAATTAAGGCAATACCCACTTAATGTTATACTTGAAGTTAAGTAGGTCCACTTAAACTTTCAACTGTAATGATGAGAAGGTTTGTTTCTTGACAGGAAGACTTCAATGCTGATGAAGTAAATATTACATTCAGATATGAAAACCTCAAAGATGTTAGTGTGATAATTCACATTTTTTGACATTGTTTGATACTGGATATAATAATATCATAAACAATTTTGTGTTTTTGTTTTTTTACAGTCCAAAAATTTGCGTAAGGCTATACAGCAACATTTTAAAGCATATGCTCAGTTGTCCGAGTCAGAATGTGTGTATAAATTCTTCGAAACATTGTCCAGAGTAAATAAATTCAACCAGGAGAGATTCAAGTGTGCATTAGGGGTAAGTAATAGTATTATTTAATTGAAGAAATCAAATTGTATCGTGCTTGTAAAGCTGAAAAATAGGATATATGCTTTCTTTTGTTATTACTCTTTTCTTTGATTGCTGCATTATACTTTATACCTAACTTTAAATTATGGGGCTTGTTTTTCAGCTGGCTGATGTTTGAATATCATTTATGCATCCATTGAAGTTTTGGAAATCATATATTTGCCACTTCATCCTTTAATTCTGTTGCACTTTATAACAGTCTCTTCTAGCAACTTCATTTATCGACAGATGTATTCCATTCTTACCAAGGAAGGTCTTCTTACTTCTGTCACTTTGGTCAAGGTCACCATTGCTAAAATTGACTTTTGCACTTTTGCTCAGTCTTTCTAAATTGACTGCTGTCTTTCATGTTTGGTTGGAACATACCTTTGGTTGTCCTCTCACTTGGTTGGAGTTGTCAAGGTCAAGGATGCTAAAAACAGATTTTTATTTTACTTACATATTTTGCATTTCTCTTATTTCGTTAAGGAAATTTTCAATTTGCAACTTGTAATGATCAACTAATGTTAAGTAGCGGAAACCAAGATTTTAACCTCTACTAATAAATTAACAATGTGCCACCTTTTCACTGAAGAATGTAAGTTGAAATGTTACTTAGAACTTTGAAGAACTTTGAATGTTGTTTAATATTCTTTGATCAAATGCAAGGTTTCTCAAAAACTGAAGTAAAGATGGAATTAACTCTTTTCGTCTCATATAATATTATACTATTCTGTTCCTTAGGTATATGTCAACCTGTTTTACTCTGTAGATCTTTCTATTGAGAGTTAGACAAAACATAAATTATCTATATTAACTTTAATCTACAGATGTTAAGGTTGGGGAACAACTCCCATTTGCATCTAATTTAGTAATGAACTTATCTTTGAATCTTACTGATCCAGTATTTATTTATTAGAAATTGGCCCACATATAGTGAAGTAATTGATCTTACACAGCAGGAGGACACAGCTTTTTGTAAAAGAAGATGCCTTCTGATTGGGGGATACTAATCGACGGTCTCCGGTCTCCGGTCTTCGACGGTCCCCGGTCTCCAAAGACCGTCGAAGACCGTCAATTGTAGGAGACCGTCGATTTGTAGGTTATTACACAAATCGACGGTCTCCAGATTAAACACGTAATTAAATTTGAAAGACAGATTGACAAATAGGCAATAAAACTATTATTTTCAGTGGTTAATGTCAATAGTTTAGAATGATTAACGGATATTTTTAATGCAAAAAAATACAGTAATAATGAAAAAAAAATGAAATGTTTTGATGATTATTAATTTATTAATAGAATTTAGATGTTGTGTTAGTTCAGTTGTAATTGAACAATGATCAATTAATTGTCTTAATGAAATAAATACATTTTTGACTTAATATACATAAAGTTATTCACAACAAAAGACCGTCGACGGTAGAACCGTCGATTAATAGGTTATTATACGAGATTTATTACATAATTGGAATTGCGAAAAAAGTGAGAGACTATTTTATAATAAATTTTGCACAAGAAAAGTTACAAAAGTTACAAAAAATTATTTCAGAAATTTAATAAAATTGATTTCTTTATAGCACAATTTTTGTTTTAAAAATCTGTCTGGAATAAAAAATTAAAACATAAAAAGCTGTTAATATAAGGTCCTACTTTTTACTGAATGCAAATGAAAACCAAGTTTAAAATAATCAAACCTTTTGAATTGGTAAATGAAAAAGGCAAATATAATGGTTAAGGAAATATACAAAATGCATTTATATACAAAAAAGAAATAAACTTAAAGCCAATGTAAAATAAAACTAGCTAATGTGAAGAAAAAAGACATTGCGCCTGTCAATGAAGCTGGCAGGGGTCATAGAGATAAGCTAATCAGAGATCGTTATCATTTTCACACTAAGATGCTTAAGTCCACAATTTTCCATAGACAAACTACTTGTCTAAGACAATGTGCAGAAGTAATTTAGAATTAAATTATTTTAATTTTCTTTCCATTTAAAGCTATTAATCGGTATATTAATAAAGGTATCAAATATAATAATATATCGAGTAAGCTAGTTAATTTATTATACAAAAGTCAATAAATATCTACAAATGGAAATAATACGTTCTGTATGCATTGAAAAAGGAAAAAGGTTAAAAGGTTAAAAACAAATCCACCTTTTTTATTACCGTTTTATCTGTTCATAATCACATCAAATATTATAAGGTCCCAAAATATAAAGAAGATTTGACATTTTTTTCGTTCATAACGTATAGCGTCAATAAAACGCAGCCGTAAAAAATGTAAATGTAATGAGTAAATACAATGAACAAATGGGTGAAACTATCTAACCTGAATATTTCTATAAAAGTTCAATAAATTAAGGATAAATATTCGAAGAGATCTGCTTCATACAATAACATCATCGATGTCTGATGTATGTAAAGAAATGTCTGCTATAAAATGATATTAATCAGGAATACCACTAATCAGCAGCGTTTAATTGAGCAGATGTCACTGGGTCATAAATAGTTGTTAGAGTATGTTACCGCAATTTGCGACCCCCACCTTTAGTGCGATATTTATGTGTTATGCAATAATTTAGCGTGAAACGTAGCTATAGGGGCCTGAGAGAGATCAGTCGATTAATGATCAGAACAGAACGTATACGATACATGTATCTTGTTAATACAACATGAAATTAAATACATGCAATGATAAGGACGTGATAAGCAAACATGTTTTCAGTGTTTCACAGCTAGAGAATGAATAAATTATCATAATTAAAAGTTGGCGTTTAAAAAACCAGCACGTTATATGAACATAATAATAACGTTTAATATATTTAGTTCGCAATTCTTTATAAGCTTTACAATTAAGTACAAAATGAAATTCATCTTCAATTTCGTTGATACCACATACTTTGCAGATACGTTCCTGTCTTTCCAACCTATTCTGGCCGTACCTGGCAGATTCATGCAATTATGACACTTCGTCTATAATCGACGGTCTCTCCCTTTTGACTGTCTTCGACGGTCTTACACAATAGTGCGTTAACTTACAAATTAATATTATATGTTTAAAAATGATATTATACTTCTATTACTGCTAATAACGATTATAATATCGATGAAGTTGATGTAAAAATAAAATAAAAAAAGGAACAGAAAAAAAAAACTGGAAAAAAATAGCAATGATCTATCCGACAAATTGTTAGTCTTTTAACAGTTTATTGTCATATGAAAATTATGTTTTAACTTTTTTCAAACTTATCAGTTATTTACAAATCAGAAAATATGACATCAATAAACTATCGTCTTAGAGAAAACGCTTATTGCCGGCTACATAAATTAATACCACGAGACCGTCGATTTGTATAGTAACCTACTAATCGACGGTCTCCACGAGACCGTCGATGTTTATAAAACTACTGTACACTATAATCGACGGTCTCTCCTGTTGACGGTCTTCGACGGTCTTACACAATTGTGTGCAAACTTACATATTAACATTTTTTATGTTAAAATAATTGTGAGTATACTACTATAACTGATACAAATGATAACAATATCGATGAAGTTGATATTAAAAAATATATATATATAATACAATCATATATTCAAAAGGGGGAAAATGGGAAAATAATGATCTATCGATCAATTGACAGTCATCAAAAAAATCATAATAATTATGTTTTATCTTCCTTTTTTAAGAAAATCTTATTTGCTTTTTTTACAAATCATCAAAAAAGTTTGACACCAATAGACTACCGTCTATTGGCTGGCTACATACATGAATAACACGAGACCGTCGATTCGTATAGTAACCTACTAATCGACGGTCTCCTACAATCAACGGTCTTTGGAGATATAACCATACCACGAGACCGTCGATATTTATAATACTACTAATTGACGGTCTCTCCCCATTGACGTTCTTCAACCGTCTTTAGAATATTATACAATTGTGCGTAAACTAACATATTTTTTTATATTTGTTTTAAATTAAAAAACAACGAGATTATACTACTACTTAATAATAAAAATAATAATCGATGGAGTTGATGTACATTGTAACAGAAAATAGACCTTAAACAAGAAAATAACAAAAAAATGGAAAAGAGAAAAAGAGAGAAATAACATGATTTATCTACTAATCGACAGTCTTCAAAAAAAAAAGATATGTTAATTTATCGACGGTCTCTCCCAGTGCGTTAACTTACAAATTAATATTATATGTTAAAATATAATATTATACTTCTATTACTGCTAATAATGATAATAATATCGATAAAGTTAATGTAAAAATAAAAAGAAAAAAAGAAAAGAAAAATAAACTGGAAAAATAGCAATGATCTATCTAACAAATTGTTAGTTTTTAAACAGTTTATTGTCATGATAATTATGTTTTAACTTTTTTTTCAAACTTATCAGTTACTTACAAATCAGAAAAATACGACATCAATAAACTATCGTCTTAGAGAAAACGCTTATTTGCCGGCTATATAAATTAATACCACGAGACCGTTGATTTGTATAGTAACCTACTAATCGACGGTCTCCACCAGACCGTCGATTTTGATCAAACTACTGTAGACTATAATCGACGGTCTCTCCCTGTTGACGGTCTTCGACGGTCTTACACAATTGTGTACAAACTGACAAATTAATATTTTTATGTTAAAATAATTCTGAGTATACTACTATTACTTATACAAATGATAATATTATCGATGAAGTTGATATTAAAAAAAATACAAAAACACTCATAAATACAAAAAGTGGAAAATCTGAAAAAATAACAATGATCTATCGATTAATTGACTGTCATAAAAAAAATCATTTTAATTATATTTTATCATTTTTCGCTTTTTTTACAAATCATCAAAAAAAAAGACACAAATAAGCTATCGTTTTAAAGAAAATGCTTATTGGCTGGCTACATAAATGAATAACACGAGACCGTCGATTCGTATAGTAACCTACTA